TAGCTGTGTCTTGAGGTAAATCAATTCCCAATTTTCTGAGGAGCTAACACACAGATTTCCATAGTGGCTGTACAAGTATGACCTCTCAAAAGCAATGGAGGAATGTTCTCATTGCTTAACACTCTTGTGAGCATGAAACAGCACCTGTGTTATTTATCTTAGCCATTCAAACAGGTATAAGATGGAATCTCAAAATAGTTTTGAGTTGCATTTCCCTCATGGCTAGGAATGTTGAACATTTCTCTGAGTGTTTCTCAGCCATTTGAGTTTCCTCTATTAAGAACTCTCTGATTAAACCTATACCTCATTTTTAATCGGATTATTTGTGTATTTTTTTTGCTATCTACTTTCTTGAGCTCTCTATATATTTTGAATATTAGGCATCTATCAGATGTAAAGTTGGTAAATTTATTTTCCCATTCTGTAGGCTGCCACTTTGTCTAATTGACAGTGCCCTTTGCTTTACAGAAGCTTTTCAGATTTGTGAGGTATCATTTATTAGTTGTTGATCTTATTGCCTGCACTATTGATGTTATGTTCAGAAATTCATCTCTTATGCCAACTCATTCAAGGCTATTCCCCACTTTCTCTTCTACCAAGCTCAGTGAATCTAGCTTTATGTTGAGGTCTTTAATCTACTTGGACTTGAATTCTGGTTGAGGTGATAAATATGGATCTATTTGCACTCCTTTACATAAAGTTTGACCAGCACCGTTTGTGGAAGATTCTGTCTTTTTTTCCAGTATGTATTTCTGACTTCTTTATCAAAAGTCAGGTGTCCATAAATGTGTGAATTTATGTGTAAGTCTTCAGTTTGATTCCATTGATCAACACATCTGTTTTTATACCAATTCCAAGCAGTTTGTATTACTATAGCTCTGTAGTATAACTTGAAATCAGGGATGTTGATACTTCCAGTAGTTGTTGCACTGTTCAGGACTGTTTTAGCTATCCTGGATATTTTGTTTTTCCATATGAAGTTGAGAATTATCTTTTCAAGATTTTCGGAGAGTTGTATAGGAATTTTGATGAGGATAGCTTTGAATCTGCAGATTGCTTTTGGTAGGATGGTCATTATTAGTATGTTAATCCTACTGATCCATGAGCATGGGAAATCATTCCATCTTCTGATATCTCCTTCTATTTCTATCTTCAATATATTACAGTTTTTAATCATATAATTCTTTCACTTGATTGGTTAAAGTAACCCCAAGATATTTTATATTAGTTGAGGCTATTGTGAAGGGTGTTGTCTCCCTGGTTTCTTTCTCAGTTCATTTGGGATTGATATGCTGGAGGGCTACTAATATATTTTAGTTAATCTTGTATCTAGCCACTCTGCTGAAAATGTTTATCAGCTATGGGAATTCCCTGGTAGAATTTTTAAGGTCAATTATGTGCACTCTTATCTGCAAATAACAGTACTTTGACTTCTTCCTTTCCAATTTGTACCACCTTGATCTCCCTGAGTTGTCTTATTGCTCTAGCTAAAATTTCAAGTACTATATTGATTAGATAAGGAGAGAGTTGACAGCCTTGTCTTGTTTCTGATTTTAATGGAATTGCTTTGAGTTTCTCTCAATTTAATTTGATGTTGGCTTTAGGCTTACTGTAAATTGCCGTTATTATATTTAGATATGTGATTTGCATCCCTAATCTCTCCAGGACTTTTATCATGAAAGGGTGTTGGCTTTTCTCAACCTATTTTGTCAACTTATTAAAATTTGATGAGAGTCAGGTATTGATTTCTCCCACTATCAGTGTGTGAGTATCAATATGTGATTTGGGCTGTAGTAGTGTTTATTTTACAAAAATGGGTACCTTTGTATTTGGGGCATAGATCATAAGAATTGAAACGTCATCTTGGTGGATTTTTCTTTTAATGAGTATGTAGTGTCCTTCACCATCTCCTTTGATTAGTTTTGGTTTGAAGTCTGTTTTCTTAGATATTGAAATGGCTACATCAGCTTACTTCTTAGATCCATTTGCTTAGAATATCTTTTCCAATCCTTTACTCTGAGGTAATGTCTGTCTTTGATGTTAAGGTATGTTTCTTGAGTGCAGCAAAAGGGTGGATCAAGTTTTTACAAGTATGTGTCATTTTATCAGGGAATTGAGACCATTGGTATTGAGAGATATCTATTACCAATGGATATTGATTCTTGTTATCTTCTTGTCGTTTTGTGATGGTGGTGTGTTTCTTTGTAAGTCTGTGTGTACACACACTTCTCTTCTTTTGGTTTTACTGGTTTGAAATTATTTATATCCTGTGTTTTCATGAGTATAGTTAACTTCCTTGGGTTGTAGTTTTTCTTCTAGCACTTTCTGTAAGAATGAATTTGTAGATAGATATTATTTAAATTTGACCCTGTTATGGACTATTTTATTTTCTCCATCTATGATGGTTTCTCCCTAAGCCCAAAATGTGCCCACCATCACGACATCTCTTTCATTACTCTCCAGCATCTGACTCACCCGATCCCTCATGTTCTTATATCCCTACCCCATGCCCAGTTTACCCAGGAGATCTCTTCTATTTCCCCTTCCCAGGGAAATCCATGCATTCCTCTTTGGGCCCTCCTTGTTACCTAACCTCTCTGGGGCTGTGAATTGTAGCTTGGTTATCCTTTATTTTATAGCTAATATCTATTTATGAGTGAATACATAGCATGTTTGACTTTCTGGGTCTGAGGTACCTCACTCAGGATGATTTTTTTTCTAGTTCCATCCATGTGCCTGCAAATTTCATGATGTCACTATTTTTTTTACAGCCAAGTAATACTCCATTGTGTAAATGTACATTTTTTATCCATTCTTCAGTTGAGGGGCATCTAGGTTGTTTCCAGGTTTGGGCTATTATGAATAATGCTGCTATTAACACAGTTGAGCAAGTGTCCTTGTGGTATGAATGAGAATCCTTTGGGTATATAACCAAGATTGGTGTAGCTGGGTCTTGAGGTAGATTGATTCCCAATTCTCTGAGAAACCACCACATTATATCCAAAGTGGCTGTACAAGTTTGCACTCCACCAACAGTGGAGGAGTGTTCACCTTACTCCACATCCTTTCCAACATTGTGCTGACATTAGTGATTTTTATCTTAGCCATTCTGACAGGTGTAAGATGGTATCCCAGATTCTTTTTTATTTGCATTTCCCTGATGGCTAAGATGTTGAAAAATTCTTTAAGTGTGTCTCATCCATTTGAGATTCTTCTGTTGAGAATTCTCTGTTTAGATCAGTACCCCATTTTTTAATTGGATTATTTGGTGTTTTGATGTCTAGTTTCTTGAGTTCTTTATATATTTTAGAGATCAACCCTCTATCAAATGTGGGGTTGGTGAAGGTCTTTTCCCATTCTGTAGGCTGTTGTTTTGTCTTATTTACAGTGTCCTTTGCCTTAGAGGTCTCATTTATTAATTGTCAATCTCAGTGTCTGTGCTACTGCTGTTCTATTCAGGAAGTTATCTCCTATGCCAGTGCTTTCAAGGCTGCTTCCTACTTTCTCTTCTGTCAGGTTCAGTGTAACTGGATTGATGCTGAGGTCTTTTATCCACTTGGACTTGAGTATTGTGCAGGGCAATATATATGGATCTATTTGCATTCTTCTACATGCTGACATCCAGTTATGCCAGCACCATTTATTGAAGATGCTTTCTTTTTTCATTGTATAATTTTGGCTTCTTTGTCAAAAATCAGGTGTTCCAATGGAGTACTACTCAGCAGTAAAAAACAATGATATCATGAAATTTGCAGGCAAATGGATGGAACTAGAAAATATCATCTTGAATGAAGTAACCCAGGTTCAGAAGGACAAACATAGTATGTACTTACTCATAAGTGGATACTAAATGTGAAGAAAGGGATGGCCAGACTTCAATCCACAGCTCCAGAGAGGCTAGCTAACAGGGAAAGACCCTAGGAGGGACACATGGATGACCCTGTGAAGGAGAAGTGGATGAGATCTACATGAGTGGACTGGTTGTGGGGGGCATGGCAGAGGGTGAGGAGTGGGGGATGAGAACATAGGGAAATGGGAGGGTCAAGCTAGAACAGGGACAGAGTGGGAGGGCAGGGAGGAAGATACCAAGATATATGAGGACATCATGGGAATAGGAAGAGACAGGGTGCTGGAGAGGCTCTCAGGAATCCACAAGGTTGACCTCACTTTGGTCTGCTGGCAGTGGTCCAGAGGGTGCCTGGACCGGTCTACTCTGGTGACTGGCCTAGCAAATAACCTAGCTGTCATCATAGAGCCTTTGTCCAGTGACTGATGGAGGCAGATGCAGAGATCCACAGCCAGGCACCAGACTGAGCTCCGGGAATCCAATTGATGAGAGAGAGGAGAGATACTACAGGCAAGGGATATCAAGATCATGATGGGAGGACATACAGAGATGACCAGCCACACTGGTGGAAGCCCATGAACTGTAGACTGGTGGCTGTGGAACCCCCATGGGACTGGATTAGGCCCTCTGGATATGGAAGACGGTTGTTTGGCTCAAACTGTTTGGGGGGCACCCAGGCAGAGGGATCAGGATCTGTCCCTGATCTATGGGCAGGCTTCTGGGAATCCAGTGCCTCAGGTGTGACGCTTTGCACAGCCTTGGTGCAGTGGGAAGGGGCTTGGACCTGCCTAGGCTCAGTGTGCTGGGCTCTGCTGACTCCCCATGGGAGACTTCGATTTGGGGGATGTGGGAATGTAGGGTGGCTTGGTTTCTGTATCTTCTGTGGATTTTCAGAGAGTGTGACTGCTGTATGTTGGCTTTATACTGACCTGTTTGCTGTGTTCGCAAGGAATGCCTTCCGGTGTTGAAGGCTAGGATATAGCAATGAGTGGTTGGAAGGAGGCCGGGAGGAGATGGTCTATGGGTTCTGTGGGAGATGTGGACAGGGGTGATAGGAGGCTGCAGCTGGTGTTCTGTTGCAGTGCCAAGAAAGAGCCTGAGAAATTGTGTCTTGAGGAACAGAGAGAGCAGAGAAGGTCTGTGGGCTACCTACCTGGTCTTCTGGCAGGTATGTCCTGTGGTTGAGCACAACTTCACCCAAGTTGGGAGCTGGGACACAATGATGAGTAGGGTAAGGGAGTCCAGGAGGGGGTGGTCTGTGGGATCCTTAGGAGATATGGGGGGTGGGGTGGGGAGATTGCAGCTGGTAGCCTCTTGCAGTCCGAGGATTGGGTCTGAGGGAAGAGAGATAACACAAAAGGTCAGGAGGTAACCTACCTGGCCTTCTGCTGATTCTTAACTAATGTGGAACAACCACAAAGATACTACTTAGAACTACTTAGGATGTCATCTCCAAGGCAGACCAAGAAAAAGGCTTTTTAACTAAATTATCTCAGATTCACAGTGACATCCCAGGAAATGTTCAGAAAAACATTCTTTTTTTTTTTTTTTTTTTTTTTGGTTTTTCAAGACAGGGTTTCTCTGTGTAGCTTTGCGCCTTTCCTGGAACTCACTTGGTAGTCCAGGCTGGCCTCAAACTCACAGAGATCCGCCTGGCTCTGCCTCCCAAGTGCTGGGATTAAAGGCGTGCGTCACCACCGCCCGGCCGGAAAAACATTCTTATAAACAGCCTGTTACTATGATATGGTTACCAAGGCCCCATGATCACATATGATCCCATATGCAACTCAGAATACCATCCTGGTACTTGAAACTTCATTTGGTGACAAGAAGTAGCCAGCTGGGATGCAGTCTCCACCATTTTTGGCAATTCCATTTAGACTGCCTATATAGATATGGCAGTTTCTACTGCATTGTTTTTCCGTACTACTCCTGAAATGGCCCTTAATTTTAATTGTCTCTCTGTGTGTTTCCTCCCAAAACCCCTCTCCACTTTATCCTCCAATTCCACCCTAGCTTTCATCCATGTCTATCTATTCTATTTCCCTTTCCTAAGTATCTATCTGTTCCCTCTAGTCTTTTACTCTATACATACCCTCTGTGAATAGTAGGTTGCTTCTTATTGACTTAACAGCTAATAGCCACAAATAAATGAATACATACAATATTTGTCTTTCTGGGTTTGAGATACCTCACTCGGGATGATTTTTACTAGTTCCATCTATCTGCCTGAAAATTTCACAATGTCTTTTTCTTTTTTAATGATTGACTAATACTCTATTGTGAAAATGTACCACCTTTTTAAAATTCATTCTTCTGTTGAAGGACATCTAAATTGTTTCTAATTTCTGTCAATTATGAATATAGCAACAATGAACATGTTTGAGCAAGTTTGTCTGTGGCAGGATAAAACATCCTTTGGTATATGCCCAAGAGTAGTATGGCTGGCTCTTGAGGTAGATCAATTCCCAACATTCTGTGAAACTGCCACACAGATTTCCACAGTGGCTGTACAATTTTGCACTCCCACCAGCAGTGGGAGAGTGTTCACCATATTCCACATTCTGCGCAGCATGAGTTGTCATTTGTTTTGTTGATCTTAACAATTCTGATGGAGTTAAGATGAAATATCAGAACAGTTTGATTTACATTGTCCTAAGGGTTAGTGGTGGTGTACATTATTTTCTGTGTTTCTTAGTCATTTGAGTTTCCTCTTTTGAGAATTCTGTTTAGATCTGTACTTCACTTTTTAAATGGATTGTTCGGTTTGTTGATGTCTAGTATCTTGAATTCTTTATATATTTTGGATATTAGCCCTCTGTCAGATGAGTTGGTAAAAATCTCTTCCCATTCTGTAGACTGCCATTTTGTCCTATTGACAATGTCCTTTGCCTTACAGAAGGTTTTTAGTTTCATGAGGTCCTATTTATTAATCATTGATCCTATTGCTTGTGCTAAAGGTGTTCAATTCAGAAAATCTTTACCTGTGCCAACAAGTTCAAGGCTATCACTCACTTTCTCTTCCCTCAGGTTCAGTGTATCCCATTTCATGTTTCTTTTTTTATCCATTTTGACTTGAGTTTTATGCAGGGGGATAAGTATGGATCGATTTACATTTTTCTACATGCAGATATCCAGTTTGACCAGCAATATTTTTGAAGATACTGTCTTTTTTCTGTCCTATTTATCAAAAAACGCCAGGTGTCCATAGTTGTGTGGATTTATGTGAGGGTCTTCAGTTTAAGTCCATTGATCAACATGTCTGTTTTTGTGCCAATACCATGCTGTTTTGTTTTGTTTGTTTCTTTGTCCCTGTGGCTCTGCAGTATAACTTGAAGTCAGGGATGTTGATACCTCCAGCAGTTCTTTTCTTATTCAAGATTGTTTTAGTTACCCTGGGTTTTTTATTTTTTTCATATGAAATTGAAAGTTGTCCTTTTCAGATCTGTGAAGAATGGTGTTGGAATTTTGATGGAAATTGAAAAGGATCTGTAGATTGTTTTTATACTTTTTACTATATTTTGCCATTTTTTTTACTATGTTAATCCTAATAATCCATGAGCGTGGAAGATCTTTCCATTTTCTGATATCTTCTTTAATTTTTATCTTCAACTTAAAGGTTTTTTTTAACTTTTTATTCATTTTACATACTAACCACAGTGCCCCCTCCCACCCTACATCCACTCTTCTAGAAGGGTAAGGTCTCCCATGGGAAGTCAACAAAACCTGGTACATTAGGTTGGGGCAGGACCAAGCCCCTCCCCCATGCATCAAGGCTGAGCAAGACATCCCACCATAGGGAATGAGCTCTAAAAAGAAAGCTCATGCACTGGGGAAAGATCCTGGTCCCACTGCTAGGAGCCCCTCTGTGGTGGTATTGTGTTCCCCAAAATATTGTGCACCCTAATAAACTTATCTGGGGTCAGAGACAGAACAGCCACTAGATACAAAGGCTAGAAAATGGTGGCACTCACACCTTTAATCCTAGCACTCCAGAGGTAGAAATCCCTCTGGATCTCTGTGAGTTCAAGGCTGCATTGGAAACGGCCAGGCATGGTGACACACGCCTTTAATCCCAGAAAGCGAGCCTTTAATCCCAGGGAGTGGTGGTAGAAAGCAGAAAGGTTTATAAGGCGTGAGGACCAGAAACTAGAAGCATTTGGCTGGTTAAGCATTCAGGCTTCTAGCAGCTCAGTTCAGCTGAGAGCCATTCGGATATGAGGACACAGAGGCTTCCAGTCTGAGGAAACAAGATCAGCTGAGAAGTTGGCCAGGTGAGGTTAGCTGTGGCTTGTTCTGTCTCTCTGATCTTCCAGTGTTCACTCCAATACCTGGCTTCAGGTATGATTTTATTAATAAGAACTTTTATGATTCATGCTACACCCCTCAAATACATCAAACTACACAATTGTCTCCCATACACAGATGGCCTAGTTTGGACCCATGCAGGCTCCAAAGCTGTCTGTCTAAAGTTCATGAGTTCCCACAAGTTTGGTTCAGTTGTTTCTGTAGATTTCCCCTTCGTGATCTTGACCCCTCTTGTTTATATAATGCCTTCTGCTTCTCTTTGACTGGACTTCAGAGCTTGGCCTGGTACTTGACTGTGGATCTCTGCATCTGCTTCCATCAGTTACTTGATGAAGGCTCTATGATGACAGGGTACTCACCAATCTGATTACAGGGGAATGCCAGTTCAGGCATCCTCTCTGCTGTTGCTAGCAGTCTTAGCTGGGGTCATCCTTGTAGATTGCTGCGAATTTCCCTAGCACCAGGTTCCTTCCTAACTCCACAATGGTTCCCTCTATCAAAATATCTCTTTCATTGCTCTCCCACTCCATCCCTGATCCAGCTGGACCATCCCATTCCCTGGTGTTCTCATCCCTCATCCCCTCCCTTCTACTGCCCTCCCACTCCCAGTTTACCCAGGAGATCTCATCTCTTTCCCCTTTCCAGAGCCATCCATGCATCCCTCTTAGGATCCTCCTTGTAAAAGCCTTCAACAAAATCCAACACGCCTTCACAATAAAGGTCTTAGAGAGATCAGGGATACAAGGAACATATCTAAACATAATAAAGGCAATTTACAGCAAGCCAACAGCCAACATCATATTAAATGGAGAGAAACACAAAGTGATTCTACTAAAATCAGGAACAAGACAAGTCTGTCCATTCTCTCCATATCTATTCAATATAGTACTTGAAGTTCTAGCTAGAGCAATAAGACAATAAAAGGAGATCACAGGGATACAAATTGCAAAGGAAGAAGTCAAACTTTTGCTATTTGCAGATGATATGATATTATTAAGTGACCCCAAAAATTCTACCAGAGAACTCCTACAGCTGATAAACAACTCAGTAATGTGGTGGAATACAGATTAACTAAATATATATAAATGCTAAATGGACCAAGAAAGAAATCAGAGAAACATCACCCTTTACAATAGCCACAAATAATATAAAATATCTTGGGGTAACTCTAACCAAACAAGTGAAAGCCCTGTATGACAAGAACTTTAAGTCTTTGAAGAAAGAAATTGAAGAAGATATAAGAAAATGGAAAGATCTCCCATGCTCAAGAATAGGTAAGATCAACATAATAAAAATGGCAATCTTATCAAAAGCAATCTACAGATTCCATACAAGCTCCATCAAAATCACAACATAATTCTTCACAGACTTTGAAAGAACAATACTCAACTTCATATAGAAAAACAAAAAGCCCAGGATAGCCAAAATAACCCTGTACAATAAAGGAACTTCAGGAGGCATCACCATCCCTGACTTCAAGCTCTACTATAAAGATATGGTAACAAAAACAGCTTGGTACTGGCATAAAAAGAGACATGTGGACCAATGGAATCAAATTGAAGACACTGACATTAATCAACACAGCTATGAACACCTGATTTTTGACAAAGCAGCCAAAACTGTACAATGGAAAAAAGAAAGCATCTTCAATAGCATAACTGAATGTCAACAGGTAGAAGATTGCAAATAGGGCTTGAAAGATGGCTCAGTGTTTAAGAGCACTGACTGCTCTTTCAGAGGTCCTGAGTTCAATTCCCAGCAACCACATGGTGGCTCACAACCACTTGTAATGAGATCTGGTGCCCTCTTCAGGCCTGCAGGGACACATGCTGGCAGAACACTGTATACATACATAATAAATAAATAAATAAATAAATAAATAAATAAATATACCTCAACATATTTCCAGTTACACTGAACCCAACAGAAGAGAAAGTGGGAAGTAGCATTGAACAAATTGGCACAGAAGACCACTTCCTAAATATAATACTAGTAGCACAGACATTGAGAGCAACAATCAATAAATGAGACCTCCTGAAACTGAAAAGCTCTGTAAGGCAAAGGACATGGTAAATAAGACAAAGCAACAGCCTACAAAATGGGAAAAGATTTTCACCAACCCCACATCTGACAGAGGGCTAATCTTCAAAATATATAAAGAATTCA